TAAAATGATCATTCATAGTAATTTTAGTCAATTCACAAAAAAATAACTGTATCATTACTTATTTTGTTTATTATAAAATCCGGCGTATGAAATTAGAATTTTCGTAAAAATTGGCTCATAAGAATGATAAGCTGAGAAATATGGTCATCAAACAGAACCATCATATAAAAGACGGTACACTAATACACTATACCGTCTATACCATACCCCTACCACGCTACCAATCTAGCATACCTTATCGGCATAAACCAATTAACATACTCCTTATTTCAATCGAATAATTTAAACATAAATATAAATGAAGTAATGACTTCAATCAATAAAATGTATATCTGGTAGAAATAATTGCATACATATAACTAAAATAAAAGTTATTTATAAAATTGTGACTAATGATCATAATAGTAACTTAATCCTATTAACTTAGCTTCAACTTTTAATTTATAAAATTGTGACTAATGATCATAATAGTAACTTAATCCTATTAACTTAGGTTCAACTTTTAAATATAAATGACCATGACACTATATTAACTTATGTATCATTATTTTTCACAAAAAGTCTTCTTGTACACACTTTAATACACACTATATATATTCCCAATTTTTTTTACCCCTCCATCTCTTTTACCTCTCCCCCCACTTCTCTCTCAGTCTCTCCACTCTCCCACCCCCTCTCTTTTTCTACGCACACTTCCCCTCCCCCCTTCCTTCTAAGCCACTTCTTCTTTGTTCTCTCTTCATTTTTAAAATCTTTTTCAATTCACCATTAATTATCAACTCAAGAAAATTATGGGAGTCTCTTCCTTCCCACATAATCTAACCATTTGTCTCAAAACTTTGAATCTTAAAATAAAAATTAATTTCAATTTGCTTTGCTTTTTGGAATATACTTTTTCCCCTTTTCAGATTCTTATGTATCTTGTTATGTTGAAACTTAAAAGCAAAGATTTCACTATGATGTTGAATGTAAGATTATTTTGTTCCATTGTTATGGGTTGGTGATTATTTTGAAATTTAAGCCAAACTATTCTATTTGTTTTTTTTATGCACATGACATGTTTGTTTAAATGTTTCATTGAATTTTTAACTTATAGTTGTATGTTTGTTTGTGAATTTCTAAGCCGAACTAGTTTATTTGGAATATTTTGTAATTATAGTTGTTTTTGTATTATTTTATAGTTAAGAATTTATTTGAGGTAAAATGGAATAATATGGAATAGTAGAAGGGTAGAATTCTCATGTGTGTTCATGTGTGTTAATTTATATTGTTTGTGCGAACTTAAAATATTGTTTGTGTGTTTATTTATTTTGTTTGTGTGTAAAAATGTTTGTCTGTTTGTTCGTTTACCTGTACTGATTATATCCGATGCATTTTATGTTCATTGTAGGTCACATCGCTCCGGAATTTCTCTTGTTATAGAAACCACTATTGTTTACTTCATCTCGACTTGCGGAGTTGGATAGGAGGATAAATGCTTTGTTGTGCTATTAATTTTTGTAATTAGTTATATTGTGAAATTAATGTTCTTGTATTTAAAATGACAGTGTAACTAGAGTTGTTAGTGTTTTCAATGTTTATCATTTGTATTATGAAAATGACTTTATATGTTGCCAAAGGAATTGAAGTTGTGCTAATAATCCAAGTGTAATGCTTTTTAGCTTGAACACACAAACAACTATTTCCTACGCATAGACCAAATAAATAAACACACATACAATGTTTAAATCACACACAAACTATATAAATGAACACACAGACAATTACTTTATATGCACAGACAAAATAAACGAACACACAGACAATATAAACGAACACACATACTAATTTTTATGCACAAAAAAATGAATAGACCGACAACGTTTTAATCACATTCATACAATATAAATGAACACGGACAAGTTCTCACAATTTCATTTGACATAAACAATTAAGAGAAGACACTTAATGTCTTGTTCAAAGATAATTCCTCTCAACTTATTTGCTTGTTTAAGTGGTTATTGCATGTGACCAGACAATTCATATATGGTTTACAGACATTTTCACTTACCAAATTAACTCGCTCTATTAGCTATTGTATGTGACCAGACACTTCATATCTGGTTCACAGACAATTCACTAACTGTATTAAGTCATTATAGTGACTATTGTCTGTGACCAGACACTTCATATTTACCTCCCAGACAATTCCACTCAACATATTAGCCATTTCAATGGCTATTGCTTGCTAATATTGATATATAACAAAAAAAACTTTTCATTTGTTAGTGAGATTGTTATACAAAAGATTCTAAAACAATATCAATTAAATAAATTACAAAATACTACTTTTACGATATGACAATTGTATTTACAACAAGTCAAAAGCAAGTCTTTAGAGTAGTTTCCCAGTCTTCAGTTCATCACCAGTTCTCTCAGCATTTTCTCATGGTTGTAACTTTGAGTACAAACTTCCTTATAGATATTTGCCGTAGTAAGAGCTCCCAAGTCTGCCATGTTGTTAAGAACCTAAAAGCATTTAAATTCATGCTTCTCAAGCACATGTTAAAAGAAATTCAATTCAATGACAAACATTAATTTCTCATTAAATGAATGAACACTATTGATGAATGAACACAACTGATGTATTTCCATAACATCAATACAAAAATTTATGCTTAAACATATATTTTATGAATGAACAAAAATGAAGAGAATGAACTCCTTTGATGAAAACTTCAAATTAAAAGCCAAGCGGATATATCAAATTAATATAGACTTATCGACTACCGATCTTAACAGCACGAGCAATTCAGTTTTAGGCCATTCATAGTTGCCAACTCTATATGAACTTGTGTGACTTGATCATGGAGGATTACAATGCCTACTCTATATGAAGGAGCATAAGTCTTAAAACAATGTGTTGGAAAGCATATTTATAGTTACTGCAGGCCCAATAATTACCATACGGTAAGATCTCATAATATAGTAAACATAATATCAACAATCTATAAACACACCCTGTAATTAACACCATGCTATTTCTTGATATGATTACTGGCAATAGTCCACAATTTCTCCAAACATTATGTTTACAACAAAACCTTATTTCATGGCAATCTGAGATAGAAAAGCACATCTACAAATCAATCCTATTTGTTTATTAGAACTGAACATAGGATGATGAAAAGTTGATATCAACTTTAGTTACCGCAGATCAATGAATTATATTAAAGTGATTTGCTTTGTATTCATTGCACGATAGTTTGTTTTAGAGCCCGTTTGGAGAACTCTGTTTTCGGCTTATCAGGCTTATCAGCCAGCTTTTTCACCAAACACGTAACTTTTACTTTCGCGCGCTGAATTGTGTAATAAGCCGAAAAAGTAAGGTTGGAGTTACTTTTCTGGCTGTATTGGCTGAAGTTACTGTAGAGGACCATTTTAGCTATTTTTACATATAATTTTTTCTTTAATTTATTAATAAAATATATTTTTAAAATATTTTTTTCTTAAATCAGCAGAATCAGCCAAAACAGCCACTCCAGCCAGAATATCATAAATTTCAGCAGAATCAGCCAAAACAGCCGATTTTGGTGCTACCAAACGGGCTTTTAATTGATGGCTATACAAAGTAATACTATCGTATACCAATTAAATACCATACCTGATTAATTACCCAGTAATCACTTTTTTTGGAAATCTAGTTTATGAGTCACTTTTTTGTCATTTGATATTATATTAGTAATATTTACAATAAAAGGCCAATATTCATTCCAACCATTTAAAAGCTAAATAAAATTGATAATAATAAAATAAAATAGTCGAAGAAATTAACAAAAAGGGAAAATGAACACACAAATTGGGGATATGAATATAAAATTGATTGAGTCATTTCTACAAACACCTTTAGGACATAAAGTGAAATAGAATAGTTTGAATTAAAATTTCACAATATATTATATACATAAAATCGAAAAAAAAAGAGATAATCCTAAATGTAACAAAACACAATGAACAAGGTAGAGAAGAATATAGATTGAATTTTACATTGAACGTAAAAGTGGCTGCTCATTGGTATATTCAAGGTAGACCGATCGTCTTTATCCTTTCTGTCTGCATCAGTTCGAGCTTGGGTGAAGGAAAAAAATGCAGGCAGAGAGAAAGAAGACAAGAATGGCGTAGAAGAAGGGGGGTAGGGGGGAGGGAAGGTGCGTACAAAAGAGGAGGGGATAAGGGAGAGATGAGGGGAAGAGGTTAAAGGGGGTTTAATGCACCAAACCTCCTGTGATTTGGAAATTCGGCGCATTAACCCCTTGTGATTTAAAAAATGTGTCAAACCCCCCTGTGTAATTTGGAAGTATAACTGGGTGTTAGGCTAACTGCAACCTAGTTCCGTCAATAAATCAAATTTCCCACTAATTTATACGTATTCACTCTGTCAATTTAGTTTTTACTGCAATCCAGCACCGTCAATATATTCAACCATCAATGTTTTTTCTTTAATTAATGTCTTTCTTTTATTTTTATAAATCATTTTTTTCATTTGTTTTTGTGAATAATTATGATTTCAATAGTCGAACATTTTGATGTAAAAATAAAAAAAAATTGGTGTTCAGTTTTGTCGTTGTTAATTTATAACTATTTCTGAAAAAATTTATTGAAATGTGTAAAAAAAGAATTAAACACAAGGTCTTAATTTTAGCCATTGGATCTATTTAATAAAAATTGTGAACATAAAAAATCTCCAATTGATATAACTTCATATTTTTATTTCTTAAATTATATATATAATATTGATGTCATATGAAAGATAATAAAAAATTAATAATTTTGGTATCCTTTTTATAAAAATGAAAATTCAAATCAAAAAGTTATAATCCATTTAAAATATTTGGGGTTTTTAATTTACTAATCCCACATTTCTTGTAAAGCCATTACCGAACTGCAGCACACTTCTCTCTCGTGAATAAGAAGCGGAATTCCCACTAACGAGTTTTGATACCTCTCAATACGTGGATTGCAGCAAATCTGGGAGTGAAAGCATCAAATTTGGCTTTTCACCCTTAGGTTTGCGGGAAGCCTTAATGGGTACAAAGAGCAAATTACTATTTTTCATGTTAGGTAGTTAGCATAACAGTGAGCAGTCACCGGCCATAAAAGACATCTCACAAGTAAATACGAGTACGTTAGTTGATGAATCTTCTTTGACATTACAGTGGGATGGGAAAGTAAAAGGAAATGGTGCATATCATACGGAGTATTCCTCTGCTCTGCATATATAGCTAACATTCAAATCGCTCGCTCGCCATATATGAATGTATCCCGTCAAGTCAACCAACTCTGAGAACAGAAACAATAATGTCTCCTCCCTCTAACGCGCACCGATTTCTCCTCCTCCTCTTCTTCTTATTCTGGTCCATCAAATTAAACGACGCAGCAGCAGCCGATGATGATGATGCTAGGGAAATCTCACCCAAGTACTGCGGCCCTTCCACAACCAGCAGAAGCTGCAAGAGGAATTTGAATATTTCATATCCCTTCTGGAGGGCGGATGATGAAGGCCAAATCTGTGGCTACCCCGGATTCAGCATCGACTGTTCCAACGCCGATCCTGACTATCCCCGAATCGCTATTTCCGGCGGCGCCTTCCTGGTGAAGGGCATCAATTACGGCGATCATTCGATCGCGCTTGCGGATGCCGATGCCATCACCTCCGGGGGCGACTGTCCCAGGCCACGTCAGAACCTCAATTTCAGCGGCGGAACGCTGCCGCCGTTCGTTTACAACTACAGCATAGATGTGGCCATCGTTTTCTACGCCAACTGCACCAATCCGCTTGACGGCGGTACCCCCTATCCTTGCTCAATTGACGACGAAAGGTCGTCATACTGGTCTGTCGGGCCGACCCCTTTGGGTTGGCGCGGAAATTGCCAGGGAGCGCTGCAGACGGCGGTGATGGGAAGTTCCGAAGGAATTGGGGCGAGGTTGAATGGCAGCTCCTCCTCCTGGGCCAAAGCGGTGAATGAAGGGTTCGTGCTGAATTGGGATGCCAAGGGGGAGAACTGCACCGCGTGCGAGAGGTCCGAGGGGCGGTGCGGCCTTGAAACCGATTCCGGCGACTTCTTCTGCGTTTGCAACGGGACGGTGACCCCTCATGACTGCGGCGCTTCTTCTCAGAGTACGTACCATATATACATTTACTTGTTAAATTATTATTTACTTAAAAATAACCTGGCCGGATAATAACAACATGCATCCATGACGCCTCGCCGGAGGGAGAGTACATTGGGAGGCGGTCCAAAATAGGAACAGTCAAAATTGGTAGTTAAAATAGGAACAGTAGTGAGGGATGGGCGGACTTTTCTCTTCTACCTACTACAGTACTACTACTTCAAATCACTTTCATTGACTCCTTCAACTCAATCACTACAAACAGGCCGCCGGTTTACTTAGGCTATATTTGACACAGAGTTAGAGCTGGAAACTAATGTCTGAATTATAGGCTATTGTCTGAATCAGAGACTATTGTCTTAAGCTGAAATTTGAAGTGCTGGATGTGAATTGATAGCTAAATAGAGTAAACCCGTTTGACAAAAAGAGCTGAAGAAGTGATGGGATAATATGAAATTACATTAACGGACATATTATTTATTAATGGAATAAAATACTTATTATAATGATTTTTATATTTTTCAGATTTTTAAAAAACTTTAAAAAAGCCTTTTTTTACATGTACGATAAAAAAAATTAGTACATGCGGAGTATATTTGTTTATGTATTGGATTATATAATTAGGAAGACTAATTTATACGTAGTATAATTTAGATTAAAAAAATACCACAAACAATTAAACAAAGTAACCCCCTGAAGCAACGAAAATTTTCCTCCAAGGGTCGCTGTTGCTATCCCAGATTCCCAGTGATGCAGCTTTCCACCTTCAAGAGCAGAGAGGTTTTACGATGGAAGAAGGATAAGATCGGAACAAAGGGTCTGGAAAGGAGCGGCTGAATACAAACGTTCCCCTCCTAAACGTTTCACTTCAGTCCATTTATTTCAGTTCAAGCTTGATTCAGACCCACAAACAAACATGGCTAATTTTATTGAAATTGACTGGATTTTAAATTTTCCAGCCCTTTTTGAGCTTATATGGCTTGCCAAACATAGCCTTACTACCGCCAATTTCTCATTTTTTCGTGGAAAATTCTTGTTGCGCACAAATTACATGTATACACGTAACTGATACTCCGTATATAATTGTTATTCCAAAAATACTGATACGGAGTATATAATTGCTGATTTTTTAGATGAACTGTACACAAACGATTATAGATGAACTGTACACAAACAATTAGGTGGTGTATATAATTTGTGTACAGATGGTGTACATCCCCTAGTTGTTTGTAAACACATACGGTTCATTAAAACAAATCAGAACCGAGCTTTCCAGTCCACTAGAAGCAACGTTACCATGTCTAGCTAAGGTCTCGGGTTCGATTCCCGCTAGACACATTTAGGGGAGAGGAGGGGGGTCTTGCTTCCAATGATTCTTCCTACCTTCATGGAGTTGCTCAGCGGCTAAGAAGGGAGGGGATGGAAATTCAGGCTCGGGTTCGCGTGGTGGGAGGACCCTTTTGGATTCAGTTGAAAGGCCGAAAAAAACCCTTCTGCATTCAGTTGACAGGAAGTCCTGCTGGATTCGTCCTGTAGTACCAGTACCGACGAGGCTGACTGTGATTATATCCGGATTTACTTGTCTAGAAGGCTTTGGAGGGTAGTCAATAGACTCCAGGATTAGGGGAGCGCAAGCACCAACACCTGAATCATCAAAAAAAATTAAAACAAATCAGTAACTGTCTGCCAATTATCTATGTAATTAAGCTCCGTACAATTTCTATACAAATTTAGTGTATAAAAATAGAATCTCCCCTTCTTTCTTTTATCCAATCCAATCTCCATAAAAGCCCTCCCACCAATTTCCTTGCCTTTTATTGCGGACAGTTTTCATAGAGTACTCCCCTCCTCCCAAATTAATACTTCTTCCGTATTTTAAAGTTTGCTACACTTTTCTATTTAGGATGTTGTTGAGTTTAATCCAACACGATATAGTAAATATATGTATAAATGTGTATGAACAACTCAGTTTTTACGTGGAAACCCAAAAGGGAGAAAACCACGAGATCTTTTAGGCTAATGTCCAAGCCCTCTCTTTCTCATTAGGACTCTCCTCACCATTACATAATACATTTTGAGCTCCCCTTAGTGGAGTCTTGTAAGCTATTCTAGGAAGAAGAAGAAGCACTGGGAAGAAGGAAAAGGGATCCTTTACATGGAGGCTAAGCTCCCTATTTATAGACAAAGGGGAAAGGGTGCTCTCCACCCTAATGGGCTGAAATGGGCCTAGCTGCTCGGGCTCCGTACTGGATAATGTCTTGGGCTCCTGAACAGTAATAGGCCGGGATAATATATCCCAACACAAGTCCCCCAATTTCTTGAGTAGTGAGCGTGCGAATCTGCTCGAGAAACTATACTCTTGCCTGCGCTCTTCCTCTGCCATCCTAGAAGGGATGGGCGAGTCGAACACGAGCCAGGCACGATGGCGCTGAGGGGCCGATCGTGCTGCATAAGACGTCTGTCGCCATCCTAGAAGGTATGAGCGAGCTGAACAAGAACTAGACACGATGGCGCTGAGGGGCCGATCGTGCTGCATAAGACGTTCGTCGCCACCCTGGAAGGGATGGGCGAGTCGAACACGAGCCAGGCACAATCGCGCTGAGGGGCCGATCGTGCTGCAAAATACTCAATTACTCTTACTTTTTCTACTTTTTATTTTCTCTTTCCTACTTTTCCACCTTCTCCTCTACTTTTTCTACAATATTCATTACTCTACTATTTTCTCCTAAAACATTGTGCCAAAAGGTATTGTAGAGAACATATAAATAGGAAGGGAGTATGAAAATTCTACTTTTTAATCATGCAGTTTGATTTTATTTATTTAGGATGCAACTTTTAATATAAGTAGTACTACTTTGAATTTGTAGACTTTATAGATCTTTTAATATAAACTTTTAATATGCAATTTTAATTATTAATATTGTTTTATTTAAAGACGGTTTAACTTTATTCTCAGTTAATCTCAAAAAAATCGAAATAAATTTGGGAAGAAATAAGTATATCGTTGATGCTATTATTTGGTGGAATATATGAGCCCAACCCTATGGCCTACATACTCACGCTTACCTATAATCGGCCCAACCATATTCGGGCCCCTCAGCCAGAACAAGGGCATCTTCACAAAATCTCAAATCTCAATAGTAGTCGACCTGATCGAAAGTTTATTTTGCTATTATTATGCTATAATGTTTTGTTGGATAATTTTATTTAAAACCGATATGCTCTGATCTATCTAAGACTTTATGATATTGGAATTATAAACAATTACCATTAATAGGTGATTATTATATATTTACATTTGCTTCTAAATGAACTTCCTTTATTGGATACTATTACTCAAGGTTTATGCTTATAAAAGATATACTCTATTTTTTGTGTATGTTGGAAACAAGTTAACCAAGTTTTAAATTGGCTGGCATTAGTTGTCCATAATAAAGGTTCAATCTGAAGTGATTTTTTTATACCCAGCCCTACCCGACCCATTCTTGTACGGAGTATGATTTATCAAATTATATTGCATGCCTTGAATTGTTTAATTAATAGTGAATCCGAATGAATTGGGTACATCCAAAAAATATAGCTAACCTGACCCAACCCGCTCGATGAGCATCCCTAATTTGTACTCCTTCCGTCCCGAAAAGGTTGGCCAAATTTCCTTTTTAGATGTCCCAAAAATATTTGCCATTTTCATTTAAAGTAAAGAATATGTGGCTAAAGTTAATTCTCTCCCCTCTGCACAAATTTTAACCACACAGTTTTTACTTTATTGATCCACGTGAAAGTCAACTTTGGCCAACATTTTCGGGACAAGAGGAATATAAAATTTCCATGCTTCTTTTTCCAACCGAAAGACAGTTACTACACTTGACTAGTAATTTTATGTCAATTGTCAAAACTACATCATTACTAAATTTATTGAAATGTCGTACATATTTTCACAAAATAATAAATTATGGAAGATTATTATTTGAAAAAGTTGACAACAATAATTTCACTCGGTCTTTTCAGAAAAAATGTCATATTTACATAACCGATTGGTAACCTGCCTATTATACCATATTTGTTGTCTTTTCTTTAAAAATATTACATATTTTTTTCCCCTTTTTCTTTACCACCATTACATAAATAATCTCACATTTCATTGATCTTCTCAAAACGATCCCATATATCATCTTTTATTTTTCTCACTAGAAATTTTCTCTATAACTTTTATCATCTAGATACTTTTTCCCCGCCTTATCTAAAAAGCCATTTTTATAGACTTTCTAGATAATATATTTTTCCTTTCTTCTTCTTCTTCTTCTACTTCTTCTTCTTCTTCCCATTTTTACTCAATTTCCCTTTTTATGTAGGGAAAAGGTACAAATATACCACTGTAGTATGGGTGTGAGAATAAATATACTCATGTTCTATTTTTCAGAACAAATATGACCTTGAAGTATATGTGGTAGTGCATATATGTCCCTGAACTTTTAAAGGGTGTAAAAGTACCCCTCATGTTCGTATAAAGGAGTAAATTTACCCTTATTGACTTTAAATTGATAAAATAAATTTCAAAAATACAATAAATAAAATATAAATTCAAAATTAAAAAAATGTACTTGGTGTCCAATTCTCCCTTTTATTTTTTTATATCACAATTTAATATTAATATATTATTAGTATAAAATACTATTTCAAAACTTTACTATATATTTTAGATTCTTTCGAAGAGTGTTAACATGTGTGTTGCAATGTAAGAAAAATTAACCTTTTGCAATCTTTGCATTCTTTGCATTATAAAATTACATATTTTGTGTTGTATGATCATAAATAGTCCAAGATTACACAATAGTGAATTTAATTTATCATGATTAAACAAAATCAAAGAATATTATTTCAAAAAATGTAAAAAAATGTGTTCAAAGTTTTGCAACAAACTAAAATTAATATTTAGAATTAGAAGTGCTTCATTTACAACGGAAAATAATATTTCTGCAATTTAAAATTAAAGAGTTAATATTTTAA